GGGGCGCACCTTGTGGCAGTCGGAGCCCTTGCCGCCGAGGTCGCGCGCGTGCTCGCTGGCGCCGGCCTGCGGGGGTCGGCAGCAAGGGGGTGCAGGGTTGTCGAACGTGCACGGGTCGAAAACGAACGGCAGAGGCGGCAATGTTGGTGATGAGACTGAAGGGCCAAGCATCGCTCGAGGTGCGGACTGCAAGCTGCGCCAAAGTGGTGAAAGGTTGAGGGAGCAGGCAATTATCAGGCCACCGAAACCCCCAACACATCAAAGTCGGCGCCAATGCACCTCGATGTACTTCTTGGCATTGTCCCATGCGCCGCCGGTGTTGGACATGGACACGGCCATCTGCACGCCAGACACCAGGGCACCGGCCAGCACGCCGGCCAGGCAGCGGGTGCCGAACAGGCTGCGCCGGGGCGAGGGCGGGGGCGGGCGGGCGCCAAGGGAGGTTGGGGTCGACTGATAGGGGAGCGCAGGGCGTGCGTGCAGGGCGATGCGGCAGAGCGCCCGGGCTCCGCAGACCTGCAAGACGCCCCGCATCAGGTCGTGAGCGGGTGTACAAACGGCTCGAAGCCAGCCACGGGCACATACGTCGTCTGTCGCTGACGCCCTTGACACCAACTCCCTCCACACACACATACACACTCACAAACAAGAGCCCAGCAAAGCACACACGCACAAACCTGCCGGCGATGACGGGGGTGAGCATCACCAGGGCCCCGGGCGCGATCATCTCCTTCAGCGACGAGTCGGTGGATATCTCAACACAGCGGCTGTAGTCGGGGCGGGTGGTGCCCTCCATGAGGCCGGGGGTGGTGTTGAACTGGCGGCGAACCTGGGGGGCCGGGGCGCGCGCGCGCGCGCGTGTGTGTGTGTGTATGTGTGTGCACATGTATGTGACGCTGCGCCTCATACACCTCACATATACGCACTCGACCATGGAGAAGGCATCCTGGCCCACAAATCTATCTGTCCTCATGCGCTCGCGGCCCCAAAAAACTCTCACACCGACGTGCGTCCACGCAGCCAACCCGCAACAAAAACAAGCACGCACGCGCCCGCCCTCCCGCACCCACCTCCTCCACCATGGCGAGGGCGGCCTTGCCCACGGACTTCATGGTCATGGCGCTGAACCAGAACGGCAGCATGGAGCCCACCAGCAGGCCCGCAAAGACCTGGGTTTAGGTTGAGGGATCAGGGTCGGACGAGCAGGGTGTGTAACAGAGCCGGTTCAGAGTTCGGAAGTCTAGGGTTCAGGGGGAGATATGTGGCGGGGCTGCGGCTCGGCGTATGCAGGTGGGGCGAGGCACCAGGGCATGTGGGCGTGAGTGGTGTCGGAACAAGCGCGGCGGCAGAGGGAAGCTGCAACGCGGAGGTAGTGGCGGTTTTGGAGGTGAGTGTGCAGGAAAAACCGACCTTGGGGTCGAGGATGGACGAGTTGATGAGGTCGATCTTGGAGCGGGTGACGTAGGCGCCGAACAGCGCCAGGGACACCAGCGCGGCGGAG